TTGGGTGTTTTTCACACCTTTTCCAAAAATATGAATTATTTATGAAACTTCAAAAATGGGTAATTTTGGCCAAAACCCACGGACTATAGCCCATGGTTTTGAGCGATTTTGGGTGTTTTTCACACCTTTTCCAAAAATATGAATTATTTATGAAACTTTAAAAATGGGTAATTTTGGCCAAAACCCATGGACTATAGCCCATGGCTTTGAGCGATTTTGGGTGTTTTTCACAACTTTTCAAAAAATATGAATTATTTATGAAACTTCAAAAATGGGGGTTTTTGACCAAAACCCATGGACTATGGTCCATGGTTTTGAGCGATTTTGGGTGTTTTTCACACCTTTTCAAGTTTTGGCTGTATTTTGAAAGCAAACGAAGAAAGACGACCGTGGTTATTCTAACTTCATTTTTGGCATCAAAATAACCACGGTTAGAAAAAAGACGTCCGTGGTTATAATTCTAGTTCCATTTTTGGCCTCGAAGTAACCACGATAAGAAAAAAGACGACTGTGGTTATTTTGGGTTCATTTTTGGCGTGGAAATAACCACGGTAAGAAAAAAGACGACCGTGATTACTTTGGCTTCATTTTTGGCTTCATTTTTGGCTTCATTTTTGGCTTCATTTTTGGCTTCATTTTTGGCTTCATTTTTGGCTTCATTTTTGCCTTCGAAATAACCAAGGTAAGAAAAAAGACGACCGTGATTATTTTGGCTTCATTTTTGGCGTGGAAATAACCACGGTAAGAAAAAAGACGACCGTGGTTATTTGGGCTTCATTTTTGGCGTGGAAATAACCACGGTAAGAAAAAGGACGACCGTGGTTATTTTAGCTTCATTTTCGGCTCCCCAATAACCAAGGCAAATATAAAATAGAACCTTCATTTTAATAACCATGGTTTTATTTTATCCTTACCTTGGTTATTGGGGAGCCGAAAATGAAGCTAAAATAACGTGGGTATATTTTATCTTTACGCTTGTTATTTGGGAGCCGAAAATGAAGCTAAAATAACCAAGGTTCTATTTTATCCTTTACTTGGTTATTCGGGAGCCGAAAATGGATATTTTTCGCACCGTTTTCAAAATTATAGTCGAGGTATTCCTGTGTGAAAGGTTTTATGCACTGGAATGGATCTGGGCTTGATGAAAAAAGCGTGAAAAGTGGTCAACACGTACCAAAACCATGAATGGGTTATAGTCCACTCTAAATGAATGCATGCAGAATGATAAAGGATTTAAATAGAACAAAATCTGTATATATATATATATATATATACTTATTTCAATAAAGTTAGTCATCAAAAACCTAGAAAGCTGTGATCGCTGAAAATCATGGGGAAATATTTCATATTCAACAAGTAAAGCTTTTTGACACAAACTGCAGCAGTTGAGGATGCTCAGAGGAGGTGAACTTGTAACTTGAAGATCTCAAGTCCATCAACAGTTATTAAGCGGTTGAAACATGTAAAATGTAACTACCCATAATCCATGTCGGTCTCAGCTTTGTAGCTTTTCAGGCGACTATTTTTATTGAAATAAGTGTATATTGCATCTTTAATGAAACATTTTGTATTTTATAATTATGGGTTATTCTTTGGTTTGGATTGAAAAGATCCATGGTATAGGGATTTAAATGAAGTAATCCAATAGGACATTTGCATGATGGCATCATTGATCTCAACTACCAGAATCCCTTGCACACTGTTTTTGTTTATTAGCGCCAATTGTCATATTATTGTCATGAGACAATACAAATTTGAATAAGAAAAAAAAATCGCAAAGTATTCTGGTAGTGGGATTCAAATGAAGCCATCATGTAAATGTCCGATATTGTAGGAAAATTACGATGCTAATCTAAAAACCGTGGGCAATGTATTAGAAAGCCAATTGTGATTGGTCAAAGAAACTGTAAAAATGTATTTTAAAATGAATTTGGCATTAGTCCCATATCCGATGCCTTCCAATACTAATGATATTTCAAAACATTGTTAACGAAGAAAGGTGGGGGGGAGTTAGATGGGCCACGGTGAGAACTTTCGTGTTAATAAGATTCGTATATTTGACATTGATTGCAAACGAGAATAATAAAAAAAGGATGACAGATCAAGTAAATGAAATTTATTTTCCAGGAACCTAATTTCCAGTTGAGAACTTTCGTGTCAATAAGATTTGTATATTTTACATTGATTGCAAATGAGAATGATAAAAAAAGGATGAGTGATTGAGTAAATGAAATTTATTTTCCAGACATCTAAGGTGTATATGTGATTGACGTTCCAATAGAAATATTTAAAAGTTTCAATGTTAGCTGGGGTTCAAATATTGTAGAACTAATAAGGAAGAAGCATGGAAAAGTGTTAACTGATTAGCAAGATGTAGTAAAATCAAGCATTTGTAAGTTAGACAGGATTCCGCTTGTAGTCCTCACAGGTTTATGATCTGGTTTTGACTGTTACTGGAATAGAGGCTGCCACTATGAGGGAGAAAAGAGACAATGCATATAAGTATGTATGACAATATAATAATTAGCAATTAGTCCTTCAAGCCCGAATTGGTATGAGGGCTAGAGGACTAATAATTGTTTTAGTCAAATCCAACTAAAATTAAGTAAGTGAAATATATAGATGCAAACAAGTTATAAATTAAAGTTAAATTTTTTAACTCTCAAAGCTGGCACATTTCGCTACTAGTAGGGTCTTTAGAACTTATAGCCTACTAGTAGCTCATCCAATCAGATAGACTACTAGTTGAATTTGACTAATATGATGCTTAACCCCACTAGATGAACCATTAATGAACACTTGTTGAATTTATTCCATGTTTAGGTAAAGTGATTTGTTACCTGTCTTTGTAGTTATTTGTAAGCCCACAATCATCATCTTTATTTTCATATTGTTGCTGATCATCTGGCTGTTCATATCCTTCATGGCTGTGTACTACATCACATGCTTGATGTACGATACAGCAGTAGATAGCAGAAATCGTAAACAACAGACCAAGTGCTCCAAATACTAATCCAAGGGTTCGTCGGGTAGAAAGGTCCAAGCCCAGAAAACCACAGTTGTATCCTTCTGAAAACAAAGTTGAATCATAAAACATTTGTATGTTACAGTAACTCTTGGTGTGTTGAGGTGTTCCTGAGGGGGAGGGGATGCATTCATCTTAAGCACTTCTGACAGGGGAGGGGATATGAGCATTCCAAAGGCGAAGGGGTGCATTATGTTTTTATTTATTTATTTATTTAATTTATTCAATAATTTTCATCATGATAAATAATAGTAACATAAAGAAGCTAAAAAACATGGTGAGGGACATACAACAGAGCAAGGCTCCAAATTAAGTGTGCCCAACAATAAAAGAGATATAATAAAAAAAAAAAAAAAAAAAAAAAAAATGAGTAAAACATTACCTGTTGAGTTCCATGCATTTGACCAGAAGATGACACACCTACACTCCTCCTTTATGCCGTCACTATTGACAGCAGTGATATTCACCATGTACTGAGTACTTGGTATCAGGTCTCGTAGTTCAGTTGACCCGCTGATGTATTGAACATAATACCTTTTGTACTCCCATATGGGCGAATCAAGCCGACGTATCTTCACTATCAACTTGACAGAATCAAAAATACCATGCCCACGTACCAGCCAAGACATGAAGGTAGACTGGGAGAATGTTTCATTTCTGATCCAAATGGATGGAATTGTGGAGAAACGGGAATCTACAAACAAAGTTTAGTCACCCTTTACACTCATTTTCATTATTAAGTGACCCACACAATTGAGTAGCTATAATTTGAGTCATCTGGGTTTTTGGTTTAATAAATTTTGATTGATGGCAGCTAAAAATCTAGACCTGTTGGGCTCAGTTGCGGTTTATCAAAATAGGTGTTCTTAATCACCAAAACCTAACTGTAAATTGTAGGTATGTAAGGCACACACACAGTATGTAAGACAGAGAGATACAGGACAGGCAGGCAGACAGGAAAGGCAGGCAGACAGGTAGATAGACAAGCAGGAAGGCAGACAGACAGACAGACATATGGGCAAGCAGTCAGGCAAAGAGAATGCCAATTTAAGTACAATTTAAAAAAAAAGATTTAAGCTTAGCTTCCTTACCCTTATTGATGATGAGAGTCATTGTTAGTGATGCTGTCTGGTTGTCAGGGGTAACTACATTACATTTATACACTCCTTCATCAGCATTATTCCTGGGATGTGAGATATGGAATGTACCAGTTTGAACATTTTTGATAGGTTTGTCATCCTTGTACCACAGAACTTTTGTCCATGTCATTGGTTTAATCAGGCAAAAATGACACTTCAGATCAATAGGTGTATTTTCTTGTGAGATGAGTACTGGGGATGATGCTAGCCAATGAACATTTCCTGGGGGTCATAAGATGTTGTAAGATGAAACACATAAAACAATCTCTGTTTAAACCTTGCATGAGGTTGTATGTCTTGGATTTTGTTGCATACATCCCATACAAATGAGAAGTAAAAAAATATGAAAAGAAATGAAATGTTAAAAGGAAAAGAACAGATAAAAACACATATTGAAAATAATTTTGAATACAACCATCCACCCATCCACAACCATTCCTGCATCCATCCATCCATCCATGTATGCATGCATGCATGCATCCATTGATAATTCATTCATCCCATTTTTTAATCCATTTATTAAAAATGGGATAAATGAATCATCAAATGAATGGATGTGTGGATGGATAGGTGGATGCATGGGTGGATGATATGTAAGGATGGGTGGGTAAATGGATATATGGTTGGATGATATGTAGGGATGGGTAGGTAAAAGGATGTATGGTTGGATGATATGTAGGGATGGGTGGGTAAATGGATGTATGGTTGGATGATATGTAGGGATGGGTAGGTAAATGGATGTATGGTTGGATGATATGTAGGGATGGGTGGGTAAATGATGACTGAGGAATGGACGAGTGAATAAAAGTACAAATGTAGAAGCAAAAAACAAAAACATCATAAACAACAACAACAATAACAAAAAACMCAACAGATAAACAACGGACGATAAATAATACGTGAAGGAATATAAGCTTAAGCTTATGAGATTAGATGTATTTACAAACAAACTCACCTTCCTCTTGTTTTCGCGAAGAATTGTTCAGAGCATTCACCTCACATACTTTAGGTACAAAAGCATGAGTATGTGCAGTGTCGTTAGGTTGTACAGTGGTCAGTTCTTTGTAAGGTGTGGTGAAACGTGGCGAAGTTTCAACACTACTTGATGTTGGGCGAAGTGTCGTTGATGTTGAACGAGCCTTGGTTGTTACAGCAGCTTCTAGTACAAAGAAGATTCAATAAACAAGCTCAATACGTTTAAAAAGAGTAAAAAAAGATTTACCTCCTTGAATCAATTGACAGGACAAGAGAAGCGCGAAAAACGAAAAATTGGCGAAAACCAACGCCCTTCTCATAACTTTCTTGTTCGCCAAAGCAATTCTCGTAACTTCTCCTATCTACTGTCCATTCTTTCCTGTTGGGTTAACCAAATACTTGAAGAAATAATTGAAGAAATAATTGGTTTAAATTAGAAATAATAGGTAAATAACTGACGTAATAGATAAGAGAAAAGCAGAGCAACTTTTCGCATCCGCCATGTTGGATTTTACCCAATAAGCTTTGCGAGCAGGCACTGATGACGCAATAAATTTGAAAATTGCACTATTGCACACAGGTAGCACTATTATCCCCAGTGGCACTATCCTATCAATTTGGATTTTTGTTCATACTTTTGATTTGAGATTAAAAACTAGTTAGTTCTATCTTTTAGCTGAATGGATCAAATCTACATACCAGATTATGTTCGAAAAATATGAAAATTTGCAAAGTTTAATTTGCAAAACGGGTCCCACATGGAAAGGAATGACCATGGATGTTTACTCATCATCAAAGAAAACTACATACCAGGTCTGCTGGTTATAGCAAGGGGTTAATCTTTTACGGTCTAGGGGCCGACTAACCTCTCCCTTAGGCTTTTGCCGAGCTTCCTGATCAGTCAGTAATTCCTCCCGGGATAGCGGTGTTGGAGTCGAAATCTCCAGCGTAGCCGTAAGTCCATACGACGGTTCAGCACTCGATGTCTGGAAGTATGGTCCTGGTTATTTAAATCAATAAAGAAAAATAATACCCCAAAACAATTTCCTAATAGGAAAAATTGCGTCGTTTTGAATTCGTTATATAATTTGTTAGAATCTTTATTCCCTTAGCTTTTAAGGGGAGGGATGTCCTAATCATGGGCTGTTGGTTCTCATAAGCCAATTTCATGAAAATCCTTAGTCACCATGCTTTCTTCCCATTAAGCGTTTCAGGCTAGCTCCTCGTTTTGTGCATTTCGAAAACTGTGCGTCGCGCAAACAACAGCATTGTTAGAGAACTATATATGAAGGAAGTAGCTTTGGTAAGCTGCTAAAAGGTAACAAAAAAATTTCGCGCACTGAACATCGTTTCATTTGAAGTTGAATAGCGAACGTTGCTCTGATTACCACCCTGCGCGCAACGGATATTTTCTTAATGATTTTTATGATTGTATGAAGTAATCTACTTTTGTTGCGCGCCAAGTGGTAATTAGGAACATTGGCGCATAACTTAAGGTGGCGAAAAAAGTTGCAAGATTCTTTTGCCTCTATTAATGCACTGTAATTCCCAAGGTGTTTCTGCGCTGAGTCAATCATAAAGTCAAGACCAGTTTGTCCACCTATCACATTGTTAGAAAAAGGAAATCATTTTAGCGTCATCCTTGCATGTATATCATTCCTCCAAGTTGAAATGTTCTTCAATGAAATGTTCGTTAGATCAATGCAATCACTCATTCTTTATTTCTTCGATAGTAACACTTCTAACACGAAATCCATTAAAGCTAGGCATTAAACAGAACCAAAACAAGTTTGTTTCACGCACCTAAACGTGAGACAACCAAAATTCTTACTTAACGATAACAGTGCGATGAAAAACCATGCTCTCAAGCCTTGTTTGTATAAGCAACACACATGGAATTGCAAGCAAAATTATTTAAACGTTTGCATTTACCTTTGCATTTGCGTTGCTCTTGTAAACCAGAATTTTTGTAAAAGTTGTGACGTATTCCTAAAAAGTGTAATATAATTTCTCCAAAAAAAAAAACAAAAAAAACTCCGAAAAACAGCAGTTGGAAATGTTTTTTTTTATTGGACACGAATGACGTAACACTTCGGCCACAGCTCTTTGTGCATTGTGGGTCAAGAAATGAAAGACTTAAACACTAACCGAACAAAAATGAGCTATCAACTCGTGCGCTGACACATGGATATATCGTATTAATAACGAATGAAACAACAAACAAACAATAAGAAAATGGCTTTTCAAGTCGCACTTTTTTCAAACTGATCCTATATTCATTAACTTCTATAATAATCAAATAAATTCAAATTGTATTTCAACCATACACTAAATCTAGCCTGTGAATGTATTTTTTCGTGTTGTAAAAAAAGAAGGCTCAAAAACGTATAAACAGTATTGTCGGATATAGACGTGAACAAGAAGAGTAATACATTGGAAATATCAAAAGCTGATTTAACGTTATTCCAGCTCTGTAAAAGCTGTTGCAGAAAGTCTGAATTAAACTTTTAATTGAAAAGAAAATTTCCATTGTAAGATAAGTATTAAGATAATCATTTCGCTTATTGAGAAATTATTATAGAAAATCCGAGGAAGGGAAAGAATTAAATTCATGGAGCCGCGCATGCGTAGAACGGTCGAGAAGGCTCCTAATTTTTTCTAGTACCCAGGACTTCTCGAGGCGACGGCGAGTGACCTGGGTACGAATGCTCCTCATTGCATCATTTATGATTATCAAAGGCTAATATTATCCATTCAAATAACAATTAGTTTAGCACGCAAGCTTAGCATCAGCAGCCTTAAATATAAGGAGTGCAGCATGGCACAGATTTGCTTCAATTACAACAGGATTTAGTCCTTATTCCTATTCATATATAAAATATATTCTTCTGTACAAAAATTATGTCCTGAAATCGCATCTAAACTAATTTAAATAGTTTGGTGTACGTAGCTTGATGAAGGCTGGGACATCGCGGGAGGATGTGACTGTATGGGCTCCTGGGACACGCTGGGTACCTGACAAAAGAACCATGTGATTGGTTATCACGATTATTGGCATCATTGCTGCATTATCTATTTATAGAACAAAGTCTATGAAAAATCCAAGATTTTCCATTAGGGGTACTTCTTTACCAACCACAGCAATTCATTTCTTCTTTTACTTTTTACTTCCGCTAAGAACGATACATCTCACAAATAAACCGCCAGGGGAGAGGGGGGAATGAGACTCAAATCCACTCTACCACCCTCCCATAAACTCTTGATTATTGATGTTAACGTATTTTAAAAAAGGCAGTAGCTTAAAATGGGTAAGAAACAGTACTCACTGTGTAGAGTTTAAATGACTTGTAAGTCTCCATCAATTCTTCCATGGTGTACTGCAATGAGGAAAATGAGAAGATAATTCAGTGAAACACCGATGACAAACTCAGAATGGTATAGACTGACCAAGGGAATAGGACTACAGGGGTTAGTTAAAAGTTGGAAGATAGAAAAATTAGTAGAGTGAAGGCAATTAACCTGTGAAATAAAAAATAACTAGTCAACGTGTAATAGTCAAATACACACAAACTAAAACAATGAAATTAGAGTCTACTCACGTGTATTAGTCTAATATCTTATTTCACGGGTTTAATGACTTTACTCTATAGCCTGGTTCACACGAGCAACGCAAACGCAAGAAAACTACACGTGTGAACTACAGTAACACAAACGCAAACGCAAACGCAAGGAATGGAAAATTTTCCATTTTCTTGTGCTTGCGTTTGCGTTTGCGTTTTTAACGTGTGAACCGGAGAAAACGCAAACGCAAGCACAAACGCAAGACGTGGTTCACACGAGCAACGCAAACGCAAACGCAAACGCAAGGAAAATACGTGTGAACTATAAACAATCGCTACTGCGCATGCGTATCTTAATTTATTTGCATTTGCGTTGTACGTGTGAACACTGCTTGCGTTTGCGTTTGCGCTTGCGTTTGCGTTTGCGTTGCTTGTGTGAACCAGGCTTATTATGGCTGAAACTACGGTTTAATTCAAACTTGAACTTTTGCCATCAGCGGTCATAGAGTTCCCTGCCCCTATTTACATCAATTGGTCGTTGCGAGAGGACGCAACAACCTAAGACTCCAAGACAAACTTCATATTTATTTTCAGGCCAACTGATTAAGATTATTATAATACACTCAACAAAATTACTCAGTTCTGATTGGACAAGAGGAGTACAATTAAATCCCAAATTGTACTCTGTAGAGTCCCAAATTTTTTTGAGCGTATTATAAACAAAAAATCGCACAATCTTCTCGTACAATTCGGAATTTATAGATACTCGTGATGCTTTGAAAGTTCTCAAATTGAACTTGCCTAAAGGCTCGTCCAATTTTGAAAACTTTCAAAACATCACTTGTATCTATGAATTCCGAATTGTACTCGAGATCGTGCGACTTCCTATACTAATAACAACACTTACTTGATTCAATACAGAAAATCCCTCCAAGGTACTACTAGTCTTTCTTGCACAATCTTGGCAGTAGACTTGATGTTTTCGGTTATTTGTTACGAACACAAAAAGAAGGTTGAAAACCTCGACCTGAGTGTCAAACAAAATAACAAAACTAAAAATCAAGGTTTCATTTCCCTCTCTTTCCATTTAACTTCGGTTTTCCTTTCATTTTTCTCTCTTTCTATTTTATAACCCTCTTTTGTTTTGTTTCTAATTCCCTCTCTTTTGCTTTTACTTCAGTTTTCTTTTTATTCCTTGCGAACAAACGCCAGTTTTTGTTGCGTTCAAAGATAATCGATCTGAATTTTTTCTTTCCTTTAAACTCTCTTTTTTCTTTCCTTCTATTCGTTGCAGCACTCCTCAATCACACGTGCGAGATCGTAAAATTTGCCGTCGAGACGAAGTAGGTTTTGGTGGTGGAGATCAATCAAAACGTTTCCATAACTTTCTATTGTGTTTTTTCACTTTGTTATAGAAACACCTGAATAGACCTTTTTGGCCTGGGCGCAATGCTTTCCCATTTCAGACCACGCGTCATTCCCTAAAGTGTCATTTATTCGTTTATCGGCTGTGCATTCATGAGAAGACACGTGAATATGGATACAACTCAAACAAAGAATTATATTTTCAGGAGAATGAGACGTGGTCTGAAATGGAATAAACATTGACGTCCACCGAACCGAAATCTTATTTTGTCGCGATAGAAATTGTACGGTTTCGCGCGTGATTGAGAAGCCCTGTAACGCTCTTGGTAAAAGTCATAGCAATAGGGACCACGTATACTTACTTCGCATTGAATACAGTAATGTGGTGCCTCGTCTGGTCGTCTGCCGTGCCACTGTACTTCAATGTTAGAACGCTTCAAGTTATCGAGCGTAATTTGACAATACTTTAATGTCCTCTCAAGGATCACCCTGCAAAAAAAAGAAGAAAAAATTAATAATAATGAAATAACCAAGATGGAACGATGCAATTTACAACAACTGCAATGATATTTACAGGATTCGATGTCACGAATACTAGAAGGAAGACGACAGATACAATGACAGCAACAACAAAAATGAAATAACCAAGATGGAACAATGCAATTAGATGCAATGAATATTAGAAGGAAGACGACAGATACAATGACAGCAACAACGCAGACGATGAAAACTAAGACAACAATACTTTAGTCATATTTAGGAATGGACCAATAGACAATTGAGAAGTTGGAGTGTGGCGTAAATCCCCCAAAATATATCGAGCACTTTTCCTACGAAAGAAATATCTCCTTTCAGTAAAAAAAGAAAAAAAAAAAAAAAAAAAA